CTAAGCACATCAACCCATGCAAACAAATGCCCACATGGATCACAACCCACTAAAACCTCAGCCAAACCTGTAGAAAAGAATTACAGATGGGGAAACAAATTTATCATAACCATCAACAAAATTCAGATTCATTAGGTTTGAGATTAGCGCTCTACTTCCCACCATTTTAACAAGAATCCCAGATCTGCAGCAGGTTTGAGAAGCAAGGCCCTTAGGATCACCTACAATGGAAGAAAGTATATGCAAGAGTAACTTTTTTGTGGTACATGCGGGTAAAGCTTTAAAAATATCTTACCCTATGGTTCTAATAGCAATAGTAGTCACCAAGTATCAGCACCACTAGTGTCAAACCAATCCCAGATCCAGATATACAATTACTACAACATACAAGCCATATATCTATGGCAGCAGCAAGGAAGAAAAACAAACCAAGTGTAAGTTTGCCTACAAGCTTTCCTAGATTCAGAAATCCTATTATTTATGGGAACATCTACAAGGAAGAGGGGATACAATCACGTGAGCACCAAAATAACTCTCCTAGAGAAACACTTAAATTACCACTTTTCTGAATTGTAGCTGTCAATTTCCAAAGATATCAAAAGTTTTCATAGTGGATTTCAAAGCCACACATGAGCTGAACTCATGTTCCCTGACACTTCTCACAGAATAATCTTATATAGTCTCTCTCTGTGCCCACACAAGTCTCTACCTTATCTCCCACATCCAGAGTTTTGTTTCCCAGTTTTTAATCACTCTTTAAACTTCACCTGCTCCTCTAAGTCCTCTAATTAAGCAGAGCCTGATCTAGATGTACACTCACCCCCACAGAGAGCCTACAAGATTTCCTATATTACTACCAGATGTGTTCAAGTATACTTGTCCAGGCATGTAGGCACAGGAATAGACACAGAGTTGGTCAATCATTATAGTGCTTTCCTTTAAATTATAAAATCATCAAGGGCAGATACCAAATCATTACATTATAAAATGTCTCAGAAGCACAAAGCACTAACCTATATCCACAATGCTTTAGGAAGATGCTCTCCAGACACCTCATATGCAACCCAGAGTTCAAGTCACATAGAAGAAGAGGGAACAAATATGACTCTGGGTACCTTCTGAGCTCCTGTCGTCATTCATTTAACTTATACTTTCAACCCCAAAGAGTTGGTCAGTGAGTTATGTAGGCACTCGCTTAACAAAGCACAGAAATGTGAATAAAGAGAAAGAAAACAGAAGACTAGCTTTGAAATATTTCAGCAATACCCCCTTTTTCCTGGGAACATACAAACCAGAATAACTAGATCTCAAGTTATACAACCTTCCAGATAGGATGCAAGGCAGATCCTAACACATCATGAAAACAGAACTGAACAAAACAAAACTTGTCTTTAAAGCACCAGCCATATTCTGAGCTCATAGTTAAATTTGAAAAGTGTAAGACACTTCTCAGGACTCCAGGGGCTATGCTCAGAGAAAGGTGGGATGGTGACACCAGTTTTTCTCTTACTGTTATTTTCAGCAATAACAAAATAACATCAAAGTAAACCAAAAGGAAAAATCTAGTTAGAATCTCACAGCACATCTAACCACTGTCAAATTTTCATGCAGTATACTAGTCTATAATTTGTATATATGTTACAGGCAAGACTAGCATACCAAAGAATTTAAGAGCAAAACCCTGTTTACAAAATGTACTTTAACAACTAGCTTCCAAACGTCAATTACAATTATAGGACGGTCCATAGAAAACTCTCTAATACAGAATTCTTTCACCTAAAATAATTATCACAACCAAGTTAGGAATATTACAATAAAAGCAGGAAGAAAAGTCACTGAAACCACCACTCTGCTATGATAGGGCCAAAAACTTCACCTAGCTGCCCAAACTAAAACAAAACATAACAAACCAAAAAACCAGGATCCCTGGGTGGCGCAGCGGTTTGGCGCCTGCCTTTGGCCCAGGGCGCGATCCTGGAGACCAGGGATCGAATCCCACGTCGGGCTCCCGGTGCATGGAGCCTGCTTCTCCCTCTGGCTGTGTCTCTGCCTCTCTCTCTCTCTCACTGTGTGCCTATCATAAATAAATAAAAAATTTAAAAAAAAAAAAAAAAAACCACCAAAACTAAAAAGCTAGGAACTAGATGGTTATTTATGAAAAACCTCTGTCATTATCCCATCTTCTCCAAGTTGTAAAACAATTAAAATGTTAGAACATGAAGGTGACATATGAAAATGGGAAATGTCCTAACAACAATCTAAATCTTAATAATTCTTTAAAAAGAATTGCAACTAAAATAAATAAATAAATAAATAAATAAATAAATAAATAATAAAAAGAATTGCAACTACTAAACAGATCTCTCAGACTCACAGTTCTAGACAACGGCAATAAACTAGATAATCTAGCATTAAAAATTTCAATTCTGCTAGCTTTGGAAGTATAAAAACAAGATGTGAGAAGACATGGATAGGCTTCCTGGGGTTGTGTATCTTTTTTTTTTTTTTTTTTTTTTTTTGGTGGAAAGCACCCTATCTCTGTGCAGCCTTCCTGGGTCCTACTCCTCCAGATTAACTCTCTTCTTCAAAACATTCCAACTGGGAGAGGAAATATTCCAACTGGGAGAGGTAAGAATCATCCCTCAGGCTATGACTGTCCTTTTTATATAAATTATAGGCAATTTTCTTCAATGTCCTTGACCTTATGAGTAGACTGTCAAACCCACTGGATGTAAGGTGCTGGTAACATCTAAAGAAATAAACTATTTTGTCTTCTTCTTTGTGATTAGGTTAGTAGGAAACACACACACACACAAAGAGAGAAGACAGGGAACACGGACCCTCCAGGAGCAAACAGGGAAGAATGATAAACCAAAGGAATAAAGGTGGCTATATCCTAAAGTATACTCAAGCAGGCTCTGAAATTCACCCAAATGTGTGGCTCATTGCCTAAACCAACATATACATCTGGTAATAATAAACACTGATAAGTCATAAACAAAAAGGGCTTTCTTAATTCAAAAACTCTACAAACGACTGGTAACGTTAAAATTTACACAAAACACTATCAAACAATAGGTGTGAGACGGATTTTAGATAGTATTAGTATTTCAATTCAAATTACTAAGAAATGAAAAACTGGTATTTTACTGCCTCGTCTTTAAAACACTAAGAAGCCAGTATCTTTGATTTGACCAAGTTACAAATCTGTTTTCAGTAGACAGAGAAAACATACTGCCTCTGTTTAACGCAAAGGACAAAAAAGATCATCACTGCAAATCATAATGTTTGGGTTCATGATGAAAACAGGAAACAGACTGGCTGCCCAGGTATAATTACGGTTATAGTGTAATGTGCCTTCAGGTTCAGCCAAGAATTAAAACCCAGTGAAGAGTAAGCAGAATTTACTTGCCTCTACCTTGCTGCAGAAGGCAACTTTTAATAATACTTCCAGCAACATGTTACATAACCAACAGTAAACAAGAATCTGATTCAAACCTCATTAGTAACAACATTCTGCCACAGTCTCCCACTGAAATTAATAGCTGACTTTGCCAGAGGGGAAAGAAATGCAACACTTACCAATCTACCCATTTCTGTGGCGCCTACCTAGGACAACCAGACAAGTGGATAATACCACCAAATTTGCACAGAATCTATGAAAAATATTTTATTCTTCTCTTTGCCTCAGTTCACTGCCAGCTTTCCTCCCTTTTACCAGACCGTATCATGTGGGTGCCTTTAAATCTAAGAGGAAAGCAAGTTGAAGAGGTACACCTAACTTTTGCTGCCTATGTTAGCTATTTCAGATATAAAATGGAAGGGTAAATGAGGTGGAAATTTTTTTAACAAAAGATAAACGGGGGGGATCCCTGGGTGGCTCAGCGATTTAGCGCCTGCCTTCGGCCCAGGGCGTGATCCTGGAGTCCCGGGATTGAGTCCCGCATCGGGCTCCCTGCATGGAGCCTGCTTCTCCCTCTGCTTCTCTCTGTCTCTCATAAATAGATGAATGAAATCTTAAAAAAAAAAAAAAAAAAAAAAGATACACAGTAACACTTATGCAATAAAAACAGCCACATGAAAAAGGCACACTTACTGAGGGATCCACAATATAGGCGGAAAGGAGGACTGCAATCATGCAATGGAAACAAAAGTTAAATTTTAAATATCTAAAACGTATTATGTACCGCCTTTGTGAAGGTTAAATTTTGTTAAAGTGTCTCTTATGTTATATATGTTTCGCATTCTTATAATCTCGGGCCTCTCCGCAGAGGGAAAAAAACAGCCACCAAAGAAAGAGTAGAGGAAAAAAACAGCTACCAAAAAAAGAGTAAAAGAAAAAAAGAATGTGTACACATATGTCAATAATCCCTTACAGACTGAATGTGGAACACACTAATTTCCTAACAGTACTCTGCTCAATACACATGAAACTGTCACACTGTGTCAAGGTATTGGTTTTCCTTTCAACGGCCACCAACCACCACGCTGACATCTAGCAGAAATTCTGAACTACTTTGCAATGTCACTAAATCTCCTAAGGTCCTGGAGCCTTACCGGGTTTCAAATTTAAAATCGAAAAAATTCACTCTGGGCAATTCGGGTCCTCGAGGGATATCGAACTACTCTAGTTTTTAAGAACTTAAATAATTCTTAAAACAGCCAGGTCCAGCACCCTCTCCCCTCCGCTTGCGAAGCCAAGCCACGACCTCCACCTATTCAGCCGCGGCTGCTAGATAAGGACACTTTTGGTAGGTGCTAGGCAACGCGCACGATGTGACAAACCCAACCAGACTTCAAAACTTTTTCCACAGAAAGATAAGGTAAACAAGATATACTTAGCACCACACCCACTGAAAGGCACAGGCAGCCAGGAATGTTTCTCCGCCCCCCCCCCCACCCCCACCCCTACCCCCCCTTCTAGACCTCCAGCTGGTCAGGAAACAATGTCTCTGCAATCAAGATAGTGATCTGGCCCAGGGTGTTCGGGCATTCCTCACCTCCAGGATGGCCTACAGCTCCAAGCTCCATCAAAACCAGAATTGGAACATTTTGTTAGGAATCGGGCACGCGTCCAAGATACCCGGACTATCCTCGCCCCAGTTCTTTTTTGCGACCAAAAATCTGCTTTTTTGGCTACTGAGCATGCTCCGATTTAAGACAGGCGCCACATGGGAGTTTTCAACGCTTAGGCTCCAAACTCCACGTAATAACAGCAGCTGAAAGGGGGAAGAGAGGGGAAGGGGGGGGGGGGAGACGGGAATATGAATGTGAGCTCTGATCCTCAAGTGAAAGACCCGGCGGAGACCGACTACGATGAAGGCAAGCGGGCGCCGCCTGGCACTGCTCCTTTTGCACCGATGCAGAAGTTCACACACGAGGGAGAAGAAGAAATGTTTGCAGGGGGGACACCGGCACGGCAAGCGGCAGAAACCAGGTCTAGCGAGCGGCTGAGCGCGGCGGCAGGTCCCCAGTGCGCGGAGCGTGATTCCCACCGATAAGCGCGATCCTCCTCTCTGAAACGCAAGGCGACGGCGAGTCACCGCGCCCGGGAAGACAGCTCCGCGGGCGCGGATCCGACGGCCCCAGCGAGCGCGGCGGCCTGCCGGCCCGGGGACGCCCAACCGCTCCCGCCGACGCCCCGCGCCGGCCCGGGGCTCCCCGCCCCCCGCAGGCCGCCGCGGCCCGGGGCTCCCCACCCCCACCTCCACCCCTCCCCCACCCCCTCCCTCTCCCCCTCCCCCTCCCTCCGCAGGCCGGGGCTCGGCCTACCTCCCCGCCCCGCAGGCCCCGGCGGTTTCCGTTCCGCCCGCGGCCCAACGCCCCCGCCTCGGCCCGACTCCAGCCACCGCGGCCTGATGGGCGAGCCGGGCCCCGGACGGAGCTGCGGCCCCCGGCCCCGCTCACCCGCCGGCTGGACGCGCTCCCCCGGCGCCGTCGCTGCGCTTCCCCTCCGCGCAACTTTATTAGCAGCTCGGCCGCGGGACACGCGCACGGCGCCCGCTCGCCCAGGACCCGGATGAGGGAGGGAAGGAGCCGGGAGGACGCCGCTGGGGCCCGCGCATGCGCGCCAGACGCCGACTGACCGCGGCGGCGCGGGAGGGGGCAGCCCCGGCGCTGGGCTCCGCTGCGGTCCGCGCGCGGCTCGAGCTGCGGCGGGCCCGCCCCGGGGGGGGGGGGGAGTCCTTCGCTCAGCCCCCGCCGCCGCCGCCGCCAGCGGTCCCCTGGCCACAGCAGCCCGAATACAACTAGTGCCCTCGGACTATTGCACATTTTCTCGGGCATGTAAAAACTGCAGAAAATTCTTTAGAGACAAGTTTGCCACATTTACTGATTTTCTTTTTAAAGATTTTATTTATTCACGGGAGAGAGAGAGAGAGAAGCAGAGACACAGGCAGAGGGAGAAGCAGGCTCCATGCAGGGAGCCCGATGCAAGACTCGATCTTGGGTCTCCAGGATCGCGCCCTGGGCCGAAGGCGGCGCTAAACCGCTGAGCCACCCGGGCATCCCCACTTACTCATTTTGTGACTCTATCAATCTATGTGAAGAGAATCCTCTTTCTGTGAAAACTGGCTTCAAAAGAAACCTGTGAGCAGCTGCTTACTAGATGCAACCCTAACCCCCCCTCCGTAGAAATCTTGGGGAGTCTGCAGTTCCCCACATTAGGACTGTCCGTGTATTGGAACGTCAACCCCAATAGTTGAAGATACGCTCGCCCTTCTGCACAGGTGAGGCCACTGCGGTGCCCAGAGGTTGGCATCCCTCCACTCTGCCTCCTGGGGCGAGAACCCTTTAAGGATCTTCCTTAGTGATTGGGGGGCTCTTCTCATTTGCTCTTTCCGTCAAAATTCCCCCAAAGCGTCAGAATTTCCCAGACTAGGATAGTGGCACCACCTGGGGAACCAGTTTAAAAAGTATGCGTGAAGAAAAGCTTTTCAATAATGTTCTTATTTTAAAAGTTCAATACTGGTTTTTCCAGTACTCCACCGTAGGTTTCCTTTTTTAAGTAGATTAATCTAGGTGAAAATAAAAATCGGAGTCATTTCCAGATCTTCTCCCTCATAGCTTAATCCAATCCGTCATGTACTCTTATGAACTCTACCTTCAAAATATATGCCAAATCTGATTTCTCACCGCTTCTATTATCACCTCGGTGGCCTGGGGCAGCATCCTCTCACACACATGGGCAGCTGCTATGTTGCTCAGGGCTCCAGCAGTGTGTTGCTACAGTGAAAAGACAAAGTAAATATTGCAGAAGTCTCTGCGTGAGGGGTGGCCATTGAATGGGACTGGGGCCTGGTGAGGAAGTGCAGTGGGCCAGGGTAGGGAACCAGACAGTGCCTATTCTGATCAAAGGGGCAGCTGCTCCTCCACTCTAGCCAACTGCCACCATGGGGAGATGCAATAAGAGCCAGTGCTGGCAGATCTTCTGATTTTTCAAAAACAGCTGGAAATCTGGATGTTAATGCAAAAAAAAAAAAAAATCTCACTTTTATATGTTTAGCCACTTCTTTCATTCTTTCTCACTTCTTCTCCCTTTCTCAGACATTCAGGAGGCCAATCCTATACAAGCCAAGCAAAACAAATCCGTGGTCCCGATTTAGCCTATTGACCATTGGTTTGCAGTCTCAGGTCTACATCTTAAACCTCTTTACTACATCATAAATTTTGTGAAAGTAAAGTCTGTGTACTTTAACTCTTTGTCACACTCACTGATTATTTGTTGGTAATTCAGAAGTTTCCAGTCCTTGGAAGGCACATATTTCTGGAGCCTGCATGGGTTTACAACTCCCAGAAGTGGCTATAACCCTGCCTTGGAGGGTGCCTTATTTTTTTTTCCAGAACTAATGTTTGCAGAGTTTTTGTTGAGCATTATAAGACATAACAATTTGGTTTAAATATTTTGTACACTAGAGCCATTCCTCACTTCAAACAGCTAGTAAAATCCGCCCCCAAATGTTTGCTATCTTGCAGTCACTGCATATTATGCAAGGAACAATTTGTGATTGCAGGATCCTATGAATGCTCACATTTGTAATCTTAAAGCCAACAGATTTGTTTCCTGAACTATGTGTTCACATACTGATCAAAGCAGCCAGAGACTCCAACCGCTCCAAGTTGCAATGTGGGCTCAGCTTAGGTCTGAAGTTGGAAGAGATGATAACATAGGAGGAGGAATAGAAACTTGAAGAGCACAAGAAATGCCTTCCAAAGGACGGAGAAATTACCCAGACTCCAAGAATATAGAAAATCAGAACACTAAACGTGCAGATAGTTGAAAAGATTATATCAGTGAATGAACAGGTGTGCTAGAGCCATAGGAATGGAGTAAGGAAGTTCCTGATTTTGACAAATAAATTCTAAAAACAAATGTAGAATGGGATGATCTGAACAGGTAGATATAGTCTTGGTGGAGCTTGAAAATAGATAAACTGATTTTTCAGTCTAGCATTCTTCCATGAGGTCAGATAAAACCAGCTTTTATTCAATCTTACTTTATTTGTAGAGAAACCTATTTCTGGGTAATTTAAGTCAGTGCTTCTCAACCAGTGTGACTGTGTCCTCCCCACTCCCACCCCCACCCAGGGAACATTTGGCAATATTTGAAAGAAAAAAAAAATCATGACTCACATCTAGGAGGGTGCTGCTACTAGCATCTACTGGGCAGAGGCCAGAGAAGCTGCTAAATACTCCACAATATACAGGACAGCCTCTTTCTACCAAGATTTATCCAGCCCCAAATGTCAATTGTGCTAAGGCTGAGAAACCCTGTCTTAAGTCCTAAATAGGGGATGCCTGGGTGGCTCAGTGGTTTAGTACCTGCCTTTGGCCTGGGGCGTGATCCAGGTCTCCCACATCTGGCTCCCTGCATGGAGTCTGCTTCTCCCTCTGCCTGTGTCTCTGCCTCTCTCTCTCTCTCTCTCTCTCTCTGTCTCTGGGTCTCTCATGAATAAATAAATAAAATCTTAAAAAAAAAAAAAAAGTCCCAAATAGGTTTTAATTGAGTTGCTGCTTAGGGGGAAAAAATGGGCCTTTTCTTTGAACTTTTCAAAAAATACATAAAAATAACAAATAAGCCTTAATGTTTAGCCCATAACGTACTCCCACCTTGAATTTTTCCAGAACTAAAAAGAAGGTAATTTGCAGGAAAGGTGGGACCATATATGGAACTTGAAAGACTGGAATAATTAACTCAGTCTTTCTATATTTACTTTTTAATTTTAAAACTTAGGGTAATCAAGGCAAATTGGTTTTGGCATCAGTATTCTTAATATGTCAATTCCATCCTTTGCTATAGCTCAGAAGATTCTCTCTTGAGAACCATTGTACACCCAGTAGAACTGGAAGAACATGATGATGTCTGGAGGAGCTACCCACTGTAGAAGGATCGGCAAATGATCACAGAGATCTGCAAATGGTCCTACCTAGTAGCCACCTCAGACTCCCACTTTGTCAGACAGTCGTGGCAAGTGGACACAAGAGGAAGAAATGTCTGAGCTTGAGTGACTCCTCTGGACAGGGTCCTGGAAACAATAAAGCTGCCTTTTCAAGTTCTAAACGTTCTGTGTATGTTCTTCAGTTGACAGACTAGCCCCACCTCCAATCTTTATATTGGAGTACAGGAGGCCAAGCTAAACAAAGAAAAGTGTGACAAGAGTGAGATCCCAAAGAAATGGTCTACAAAAATGCAAGAGGTGCCTGGGTGGCTCAGTCAGTCAAGTATGTGACTCTTGATTTCAGCTCAAGTCATGATCTCATGGGTTGTGGATTGAGCCCCATATGGGGCTCTGCACTCAACGTGGAGTCCCCTATCTCTCTCTCCCTACTCATACTCTCTCTCTCTCTCAAATAAATTAATTAAATCTTTTTTTTTTAAATCCAAGAGAAAATAAAATCATGCTAAAATTATCCAAAGAAACTTCATGTTGCTGTTGAACAGAATAAGCCACATGTTTCTGTGTGAACCAGAGAATACACTAACGTGATTTTATTCAACATTTGAAAGGGGTTTATTCCAGTAAAATTTGAGTGTTCTGGTGTGAAATGATCTCTTAATAGTCCACAGATCCTTTATTTTCATAACTCTAGATGTCGAGAATCTTAATGTATTGAGAAAAAAAAAAAAAGAAAAGGAAAATAAAAGAATGGAAGCCCAGGAATCTCCAGGCCATGGACCCCTTGAAGCTTCAGGGACAGATATGAGAGACTCTGTGATGGCCTCCCCCGCCCCCACCAGAATGAATATGCACTTTTTTGTATATATACCTTTGTACACATTCTCTGCAGAAAAAAAAAATCCATACCTTTCATCAGTGGCTCAAAGGCTTGCCTGACCCCCAAATGTTTGCAGATGCTTAAAGTAGTGGTGACTTACGGGTGGTGTAAATTTAATGTGTCCATTTTAAGTTCTCTTCTCTTTTTCAGAGCAACGTAATTGGGAGATTCCTCTCTAGGGAGGGCTGCTTGATGCAGAGTGTAGGAACCTGGCTTGCCTGTCTCCAGCCATCTGCTACATTAAAGAAGGCCTCCTATGGCTGGAATCCAAAACACAAAATTAAAAGGGTTGCTTGCACCCAGAGTCATAAAACAAAGAGGCTTTCTAAAGCAGGGCTTGGAGTGAACACTCATTTCTTCCTGACTTAAACAGCATCTGTTCCTCCTGACGGCAAACACCCTCCAAGTTAACTCAACTGAACTCCACAGTTCTATATTCTCAATTTTCATGCTCCGAGACATAGTCTCAGATGAGCCAAACCACATGTGCACTCTGCCACAAATCCAGAGCAGCAGGTGAAAATCTGGGAATGCTATGGAACTGGAGAAAGGGGAAGGAGACAGAAGTTCACATTCTCTAGAATGCCTTTTACGTGCAGAAAATCTTGGTCACCAGAACTCTGAAGCCAGTCTTCCTGTTGTGAATGTCAACTGTCTCCCTTGCTCCCTGTGTGACCTTGCACAAGTCCCCTCATCTGTAAAATGGGGATAACAGTAGTATCCAATTAATGGAATTACTGTAAGGCTTAAATAGAAACTTGATAGGCACACAGTAAATACAGTAGAAGGCATGT